GTACTCAGTTATCAGCTATACATAAATGTTGTATTGATGAAAACCACTTTTTTAGGGGCAGGGGCATCAAAATCAGTGGCTTATTCCAAACAATATTTATTGTTTTATGGAGTAAGGTAACACTAACCTAAATCTTAATATATTTTCTATATTTTATATCAAAGAAAATTCTCAAATCTCTTTGTGCTCTTTTGAAGAAATGGACATTTATGTAAATTTAGGAGGAATTCACCCCCAATAAATCAGCTGTATAAAATCTGTATTTTAAAATATAGACAGTTTTTAGAAAAGGGAAGGAGTTGAGAGACTAAATAAAATGAAAATGTTTCTGAGTAACATGGTCCCTTCTTTCTATTTTTTTTTTTTTTTAAGACAGAGTCTCATTCTGTTACCCCGGCTAGAGTGCCATAGCATCAGCCTAGGTCACAGCAACCTCATACTCCTGGGCTCAAGCAATCCTTCTGCCTCAGCCTCCTGAGTAGCTGGGACTACAGGCATGTGCCACCATGCTTGGCTAATTTTTTTTTTTTTTTCTATTTGTGATAGAGATGGGTCTGGCTCTTGCCCAGGCTGGTCTCGAACTCCTGAGCTCAAACAATCTGCCTGCCTTAGCCTCCCAGAGTGCTAGGATTACAGGTGTGAGCCACCATGCCCAGCCCCTTTCTATTCTTTGTAAAATATCTCTAGCTTGACCTTTGACTTCTTGCTTGTAAGGATGAACATCCATGCTCTTCCCTTTAGTTGGCCAGTGGATAAAGAGCATAGTATTCTGCTACACACAGACTTGGAGGCTCAGTTTGATAAATAATGTGGATATTCTTTTTTGATTCAATCATTATTTGTTCAATATCCAGTATCCAATATATGCACAGTTGGGGTCATACAAAAATGATTTAAGGAATTTTTTCCTGAAGAATTTATAACAAATTATATGTGAAAGAAAACATATCTAAGTAATATTTAAGACAAATTATGGAAGTATAAAACAAAAGTTTACAGAGGAAAGAGTGATTGGCTTACTTTGCTGCTAAGAAAGCTGTTTGCTGTTTTTTATATATCTATTTCTATAAAAGAAAAGGAAGTAAATAATAGGATAACTGAATGTAAGATGATTATGATAAGCTTCCCAGTCTTAGTTGATCTCTCAGTTTGTCATCACTGTTTTAGTAAGGAATTTGTGTAGCTACTGTATATCGTCATCTCTCTGGACCCAAAGCTTTTGTTCTCCAGGCATCTGGCCTCTACGAAGCCTTCTTTAATTATAATAGTCACCTAAACTTTAATAATTATAGATCCTATAGTAGGAACAAACATATCTATAGGCCAGTGATATAATTATTTTGATTATATACTATAATTGATTAAAAAAAGGATGTATTTCTATTAGATATACTTATTTATCTTTTATTACTTACATTTATAATATATTAATTTATGATGTGCCTCATCAAACATACACAAAAATATATATTAAAAAATAAGAAATAATGGTGAAATAAACTATTTGAAAATGTCTTACTAATAATGATATTATGATGGAATCTCACTGCCATTATTCATTATTTCAAAGCACAGTATATACTTAGGTTGAGATTCATTGTTAGTGACAGTAAGATGTGAATCCACAGTTCAAATAATGATAATTTTTCCACTGCTCTAGGCATGCCCTCTGAGGCACAGGTCTCTGAAACTCTCATCTAAAGATATTTATAGAGTTACTTTCTGTCCTACAACAGTGATTTTTTTCTAAGTCTGTCCTTTCTCCACTCCTTGAAGCCAGTTATAAGGAAAAAGAATCTAGTAAGAAAAACAATTTTGGGGGATGTGAGAATATCATTGTTATTTATAATGATTCAGTCAGAAATATAAGATGTTATCTACTTTGCTTCTAGAGAGATGCTTCTTTAAGAGATGAGAATTTATTATAATATTATGTTAATAATGTAAAGCTGTTTCTCCAACTTCATTGATAATGTGGAATATATAGTTTCAGAAATTAAAAACCTAGAGTTTACCTTACAGATCATTTAAGTTTCTTTAAAATTACAGCAGAGGGCACTGTGGTATTTAGTTTTTCAAAGCCTGTTTTAAAATTGGGAAAATTGTCATTTTATGTGTAATGCAGTGTATCTATTCAACTAATTCAGTGAAAAGCTATGAAACATTTTGTTCTTTGGTTTTTCACTCTGTTTGGACTATAAAAATTTTGTTGAGAATTGGAAAATTTGAGGTACACTATTTTTCTGAGTTCTACATTTGTTTTTGTTTAGTAGATAAAAGAAATCCCTTAAAAATAGCAACTGTTGTAAATCTATTCACTGATCTTTAAAATGAATTTATGTGAGATTATCTTGATTAAAATCAGTACTATGAGGAAAAAAGCTTTCAGTGAATATTATGTAAGAAATTTAATTAAGCTTCTGAAAAATGTTTTTATAGGTCCTAACATCGTTAGTCATATGTCAGATGTAATTTTATTAGCCCACAGGCTGTCAGAGATCGCATGCCCAGAGCGACAGATTACCTTTGTATTATAGCATTCACTTAGGAAGCAAGTCAGTGTTAGTCTGATAGGAAGCCTACATATTTGTTTCTACATCGTTAATGAAAAAGAAGAAAAAAAACCTATTTTATAAAGTTCCCTTAGGAAAATTATTTGAGGGTTTGATTTATATTTTAAGAATATACATTTTTTAAAAAATTTTTTTAAAAAATATAAATTTTTTTTTTGGAGACAGAGTCTGTTTCCCGGGCTAGAGTGCTGTGGCGTCAGCCTAGCTCACAGCAACCTCAAACTCCTGTGCTCAAGCGATCTTCCTGCCTCAGCCTCTTGGGTAGCTGGAACTACAGGCATGTGGCACCATGCCCAGCTAATTTTTTCTATATATTTTTAGTTGGCCAATTAATTTCTTTCTATTTTTAGTAGAGACGGGGTCTCGCTCTTGCTCAGGCTGGTCTCGAACTCCTGACCTCAAGCAATTCGCCCACTTTGGTCTCCCAGAGTGCTAGAATGATAGGCATGCCTTAATAATGTAATTGACATTAATTGGGTTATATAGATTTTAAAGAAGGTAAACTCTAATGAATAGAAAAATAGTGTTTATACTCCCTTTAAAATATACTATAAATGTAGAGAAGGGGAAATCTCAGCTTCTGCTTTGGTCATTCTGTTATAAATTAGCTAAGAATAGTAGCCAATAATGATTACGTTTTTATAATGTTTGCCAGAAATTCAGTGGTTATGCCTCAAAACTTTCTTGGTGCCTTAGTGTTACCAGTTTTGCAAAGGAGGAAATTGAAAAAATGTGACATGCCCAAAGTCACATAGCAAAGCAGTGACATTGTTAGTGACATATCTAAATAGTTACTCTCCAAACCCATACTCAGTTGGCCAGTTTATATTTCTTTATATATTAATCTATTCCTCAGATCTATATAAATTCTAGAGGTAGCTTTTTACTTTAAAATGAATGTTCATTATTGACAAATAATCAGTTTTGATATTCAGTTATGTGTTACTTTTTTCCTATCAAGTATAATAGTTCATAGAAAGTGAGGAACTTATAAATTTTTTTTTTTTTTTTTTAAGATATGGGGTCTTGCTGTGATGCCCAGGCTGGAGTGCAGTGGCTATTCACAGGAGCCATAATAGTGCACTGCACTCTCAAACTCCTGGGTTCAAGTGATCCTCCTGCCTCAGCTCTTGAGCAGCTGGGACTACAGGTGCATGCCACCGTGCCCAGCAAAGCAAGGAACCTTTAAAAAGTTCTCTTGGGCATGGATAGTGAGAACAATAAACTCCATAAAGGCAGAAATCTTTGTTTTGTTGTCGCAAGTGCCTAATGTTTGGCACTTAGATATGCAGTAAATATTTGAATAAAAAATTGTTGAGTTTGTAAATTATTTAATTGATAATTGATTTGAAATATTTAAACCTTCTAGAAGTTAAGTTTGGATGTAGAGAGTTCTTTTGTTCCTTGGAAAAAGATTTCAGAATGAGGAGAGCAATTACTCTGCACTTAGGCACCAGTGTAGTAAGAGATGGTTTCTGGTCACCATCATGGTGCATGCCGAGCATTATAGAGGAGGAAAGTAGGAGAAAGATTGCTATTAAGGTAGCAAATAAGCACAAATTCATCTTATAAAGTAACTTGCTAAATGTAAATTTGGTATGTTGGAATTGCAAAATGTTTTAAAGAAATGTAGTTTTATTAGGTTGAAGTCATTGTAATTAGAATTAGGTTAATAAAGAGGACATGCTTTAAAATAAATAGGTAATGATGTTTTATGAGCTTATCAAAGCATGAACCAAAGCAATTAGTTTTAGCTTAAATCACAGTTACAGTGTTTACAGTGTTTATAAAGTGCTTAGTTGTTTTTCCTTTAGTAAATATTTTCTTCAGTGAATATTTTTGCCTTTTATGTGTTACTGCTTACCAAAATGATCACAAAATATGACAAAGGAAGACCTGACACTCTGAATTTCACTTATAATACAAACTAATTGCTTAAGCAATAGAGAGGACATGGAGGAGAAATCAAAATTTGATATATAAGAAAATGAAGGGATGGGATAGGAAATTGTGTAGGTGGAGAAAAGTATCCCTAGGTGGAGATGAGAGGGAGTGTAAAGGTATTTCTTCATGTAGAAGAGTTGCCAGATTTCTCTCTGATATGAGATCTGTTCTTGATTTGAGATGCAAGTTAGGAGAAGTGTTGCTTTATGAATGGTGACTTGTGAGTGTTCTTCCATTAAAGATAACTAAGGTAAGACTTTTTTGAGGTACTTTATTAATATGTAAATGGTAAACAATTTACTCGAATTTCCCCCTAAATTCTCATGTCTAAAGTCAGATTGATTAAATTCATTCTTGGTGTTTCCTTTTGAAAAGAATGCAGTTTTAGCAAACCTCTTTATATAAATGGGGTGGGATTTAGGAAATTGTTATATCATTGCATTTAAAAACTTTACAAGTTTTCTTTTTCTTTCTACTTTTCAGCCGGCCTCAGAAAGTGTGCTTGTGTCCATTTCTACCAGTGCACCCTTTGCATATCTCTACCCACTTGTATATAATTCAGCATCCAGCAGAGGTGAGTAAGATTTTGTAAAATATATAATTTCAGATAGAATATTAGTGCAACAGAGCAAGCACACAGATAAACATACTCATCCTTCCCAGGTCTTTAGCATTTCCTGGAAAGAAATTGATGATAAATGCTTTCTCTTTGAGAAAAAATTGTTTCCTTTATTTATCATGTGATAGTATAGAGTCATGTGCTTTAGGGACAGATAAGATTTCATAAAAATTGTGTTATGATTAGTATAGAAATTAGAACTACAACAACTTTATATGAAGAAAAGATGAGATTTTGTGAGTAAAGAGCTAAGAAAATCATTTCTTTTTTATATTTTGCTCATAGCTTATGTTTCTTGATGTCTTGCTGAAGTGGAAATAGCTTTAGCATTTTAGTATTACAAGTACAAAGTAAATGTATAAGTAAGTTTTTGATTTTGATTTCATTTATATATATATATATATTTTTCTTTTTCTTTTTTTTTCTTTTCTTTTTTTTTTTTTTTGAAAGAGTCCCTCTGTTGCCAGCTAGAGTGCAGTGGTGTCATCATAGCTCACTGTAGCCTCAAACTCCTGGGCTCAAGCAATCCTCCTGCCTCAGCCTCCCGAGTAGCTGGGACTACAGGTACATGCCACCATGCCTAGCTAACTTTTGAAAAATCAGTTTTTTAGAGATGGGGTCTTGCTGGTCTTGAACTTCTGGCCTCAAGCAATGCTCCTGCCTCAGCCTCCCAAGTAGCTGGGATTATAGGGGTGAACCACCACACGCAGTTGATGGCTTTTTAAATGTGGATATTTTCATCAATTTGTAGCAATTTTGATGTTTTCAAATCTTTTATTTTTTAACTTATTTTTTACCATGTTTAATCCATGATTTGGATGATCCATCCATAATTGTGTGTGCTACAAATGTATTTTATGCATACATAGATATATCTATACAGTTTCTTATCAACAAAGGAACTTTCTGATCTTCATCTAACTCAATAATACTGGGCTACCTGTGCTTAACTTCACTATTTTCAATAAAAGGATGTTAATTTGATGACTGTCCCCTAAAAAAGTGATTAAAAAACATTTGGATAGGCTCCAGGAGAGGGCTTTGGGAAAGGAAAACTTGGTAGAGGTAATATGGAAATTATATGATAGAGCATTTCAAAGAGTAGGTACAAATATGTAGAAAATTACTTAAGGATAAAAGCAAAATTACAAGCAGCTCAAAAATTACAAGAAGCTTTATAAGAAAGAAGCATTTTGTTAAACTATTTGGCCTTTGTGCACAGTATGTATTTAGCCATAATAATGCAAACACTGTTGCTTTGGGAAAAACTCTCAAACTGTGTTTTTCCCTCTACTGTCACACCACAGCAATCATCAACACAGAAGAAGACTTCTGTGACCACATGTGGGGGGTTTTCCCCACATACCAAGCAGTGGACACCATCTGGGTATCTTCTAATTCAATTCCGACACTATCTACTGGAAGATAGTGTCAGATCCCACAGCGTGAGGGCTCAGTCCTCGAAACTGTCCCCTTCCCCTAGATGCTAGTAGCAAGTCCAGGCCTCTGGAACTTCTGACAGATTGGCTTCAAGTTGGAATTCTCATGGCCCCCTCTTTCAGTTTGATTAGTTTGCTAGAGCAGCTCACAGAACTTAGGGAAACACTTATGTTTACTGATTTATTACAAAGAATAAACAAACAGCCAGATTAAGAGAAACATAGGGTGAGGTCTGGAAGGGTCTTGAGAGCAGGAGCTTCTGTCCCCATGCAGTCGGGGTGTGCAGACTCACAGGAATGGGTTTTTACTCACCTTCTATCCGCCTCCACACGTTCAGCTTTACAGAAGCTTACCGAACCCTGTCCTCTTGTGTTTTTGTAGAGGCTTCGTCATAATAATAATTGACAACTGTGTAGAAATGTGATTGGACAAAAAGCACTTGATGTAAACCCAGCAAGGCCTGTCTATTCAGATGCCTCCTGGCCTCTCTGTGCAACATTCTTTCTTCCAGGGTATGGTGCAGGAGCCTCTCTGGAATGAGGGTGTTTTGACCCACAGTCAGATTAGGTACTGCCTTGGGCAGGTGAAAGGAGGACAGGAGAAGGTCAGAGAGAGAAATTCTCTCTAGAGGCCTGAAGTGACCCAGCATTATAACAAGGATTATGGAAGTTATGAACCAGGAGCCATGGATAAAAACTAATATATGTGATAATACCACAACTATTTATGGATTTAACTTAAAAATATTAGAAGATGTGAGGGTAAGGATTGATGTTAGAAAGCTAAATCCTCATTTATTATGAGAGGCTGTAGTTTAAAGTGGACTAGTTAAGATGAGGGCTCTGGAGCCAGATTGCCTGAGTTCAAATCCTTCATAGCTCTGTAAATTCTGTAACCCTGGGCAAGTTCAGCAACCTCTCTGTGTTTCAGTTTCCTCATTAGTAAAATGAATGAAATGACAGATATATTTCTTTCCCAATTTATTGTGAAAAGTAAATGAATTTCTCTTTCTTCCTTTCTCTCTGTCCCTTTATATATATATATACACACACACAAACATATATATATTTACATTAATGTTAGCTGTTATGCTAATTGGTAGTTTTTAGATAATATCTAAAATTGATAAATCAAGAAATAGCAAAGCTCATATTAGATAGACATATGGAGATAACTACCAGAAAAAAATAGCTAAAGGAGTTAAAGTAATTGCCTCTGGGAAGTGGTACTGGGGAGTGTATCTGGAAATAGGTGTGGCATTTTAAATCTTTTGACACTGTTTAATTTGACATATATATGTTTATTACTTTGATAAAAGTTGGGAAAGTTATTAAGTCTGTGTCAGTGTCTCATAGCGGTGGTAAGGAGGGAAGAACATTATATGAAACACTGAAACATGTCCTAAAACCACCTAAAGCAGAGTAGCCAATCACCTGGCTCTATAGGATTAAGGATAGAATTTTTGTGGCAACAAGAAAGGTGGTTTCCAATGTTGGGAACTAGGACGTTGAAAAAACTACTGATGATAGTCAAGTTAATGGAATTTTCAGAAATGGTCACCAGGTTTCTCTACTCTAAAGTTATTATTTTGTTCTCTTTCCATACTGTATTCTTTGGAAGCAAGGGCCTAAAACACTCTGGGAGGGAGAGATTAAGCTCCACCTTCTGGACTGGGAAGTATTGACATTTATTACTTAGAATTCTTTTGTGAGGAAGATTTGTACCTTCCCCTCACTTATTTATTTATTCATTCATATCATTTTAGACTCTATTTTACACTTTGGGTTATAACCCAATATTATGTTATTTATAATGTTTCTGAAATTGTTCCATTTTAGCCATTAATAAGATTGGCTTCTGTGTCCCTTTGATGTGCCCCATTGTTTAGTTTTTTGAACACTACCTTGCTTTCTGTGCATAAAGATCTAAGCAATTATCTTCAACCTGAAGTAGTACAAAATTGTGATTACTGTTGAAATAAAAAAAAGTGTTAGAATAAATGATTCAGTTTAGTTAAACACAAATTTACATTTGTATAGTCCTAATCATTATATAGATTAATATTATCTTGTTTGATCACTTAACCTATAAACATATTCAAACAGAATAAAAAGGTATGCTTTTATTATGCTTAGTACTGATAAATCAGAGAAACTTACCTCCTTTTATTAAACTGTGCTCTTTAGTAAAAGACTTGTGAAAGTTATATGTAAAGTTATGAATCAGATTTTCATCATAAAAGATTTAAAACTGTTTAAGCAAAAATCTATGTTGTAATTAATTTTTTAATTAAAGGAAAACAAAGTGTTGCGGACAGTTCCTCTACTAGCAGCATGCCTCCCCCAGGACAAGTGTAAAGTAAAGATTGGTCGTCGCTTCAGTGAAGAAAGGTAAATTAACTTTTAGGGCAATTTAAAATAACTCTTTTCTACACAGACCCTTAAAAATGATTTTCTTCAGCATATTCATTAGACCGAGAACATGGTCTAAAAACTGGAAATTAGAAGTGTTCAATAAATTGAAGTTCTGCGTCCCCCACCCCCAACAAAATTATGTAAGACAAGCCAAAGCAAAACAAAAACAGAAATAAAAACACACAAACCAAATGGTACAAATAAAGGAATGAATGATAGTCTTATCTGAATTCCATAGTAATATATGTTAAACATAAAAGGCAAATATATTTATTGTTTATTTCATTTTTATTAAAAGTGCCTTCAGGATGGTAGGTTTCTTATATTAGATTTAGTTCAGCTTTTTCCTATGGTGCCTAATACAGTGCTTACTAAGTAAATTATTATTCCCTGATAAATTTTAAATTAAAGCAGATTAACTATTGATTTAATGTGAATCTGATAGTTCGATGATTAATTGAGGCTTTTTTTAGAGGTAATCATGGGGAACTGATAAGAGACCTATTGCCTTGGGTATCTTTTGTAAATGGAATTTTAAAAAACTCATTTTCAGCCGGATGTGGTGGCTCACGCCTGTAATCCTAGCACTCTGGGAGGCCCAGGCAGGCAGATCATTCAAGGTCAGGAGTTCAAAACCAGCCTGAGCAAGAGCGAGACCCTATCTCTACTATAATAGGAAAGAAATTAATTGCCAACTACAGAAATATAGTATATATATATTACCCATATGTGTGTATATATATATACTATATATATAATATTTGAAAAAATAATATATATTATAGGTAGTAAAATTAGCGCAATGTGGCACATGTCTGTTAGGTCCCACGCTACCGCGAGAGCTGAAGTGGAATATGCTTGAGGCCCAGGAGTTTGAGGTTGTGTGAGCTAGGCTGACAACCATGCTCTAGCCCTGGGCAGCAGATGAAAAAAATAAAAACAAAAAAACCTCATTTTCACTTATTTGCCTTTATATATGAGAAAACAATTGATTTGTATATTAAATCTGTATCCAGTGACTTTGTGAACTCATTTATTAGTTGTAGAAATTGTTTTGTAGATTCCCTGGAACTTTCTGTCTAAGCAGCATTATCATCTGCAAATAGAGTCATTTACACTTCCTCCTTTCTGGTCTTTATACTTTTAATTTTTTTTTTCTTGATGTATTGCAATAACTAATACCTTGTACAATGTTTATTAAAGTAGTGAAAGCCAACATCTTTACCTTGATCTCAATCTCAGGGGACATTGTTAAATATATTGGCTGTATTTCCCCCTTCCTCAACATTATTGAGATATAATTGATAGATAAATATTATATATATTTACAGTATACAATGTGATGTTTTCATATATGTATACATTGTGAAATGATTACCACAATCAAGCTAATTAGCTTATCTATCACTTCACAGAGGTTTTATGATTTGTTAAAGATGTTAAATAATATTGGGAAGAACACTATAGTATAGGTGTGTCAGGTGAGATAAAATGAGGTAGTGAAGTCAAAACACCTGAAACGAAAGACATTTATTACTCACAGGCACCAGAGAAGTTAGGGTGCTGATGGGAAGCCAGTGGAAGTCTGAAGACAGCAGAGCTCTTAACCATTGGGTGGGTTGGGGGAGAGGTGAGGAGGAGACCTGTGGGACTATGCCTTTATTAAAGTCCTTTATTAAAGGTCCCTTGGGATCCTATGGCTTTGGGGCCACACATGGCCTTTTGACCAAATCCAAATTTTACAGAACAAATTCTTTTAATAAAGGATTTTCAAGTACACAATACATTATCATTAACTATAAGCACCCATGTGGTACAATAGATCCTCAGATCTTTATTTTTGTAATGTCATTTATCAGTTTCTAAAGTGCTGAGAGTTTTTTTTAATGAAGAGATGTTTGCTGAGTTTCATGAAATGTTTTGTCTGCGTCTGTTGTCTAGTTTGAAAGTTGATTTTCATGTTAGATCGTTCCTGCAGGGTTCTGTTTTAGTTTGTATTATATTAATTGATTTATTTATTTAATTTTTTTTTTGAGACCAGAGTCTCGCTTTTGTTGCCCAGGCCTAGATTGATGCCTTGGCGTCAGCCTAGCTCCACAAGAAACCTCAATCTCCTGGCTCAAGCAATCCTCTGCCTAAGCCTCCCGGTAAGCTGATTACAGCTGCTGCCACCGGCGCGGATGCCCGGCTGTAATTTGTATCGGTAGTATTATATAGTTGGCCAATTAATTTGTTTTGTATTTGATAGTTAGAGACGGGTCGTCGCTTGCTCAGGGTGGTGTCGAACTTCGCTGACCTTGAAGCAATCCGGCCCGCCTCGCCTCCCAGAGTGTGAGGATTACAGGCGTGAGCCACCCGCGCGCCTAAATGAATTTTTGAAATGTTAAATATCCTTGCATTCCTAAGATAAAGCTCACTTAGTCATAATATAGTATTTTTTTTGTATATTACTGGATGTGATTTGCCAGTATTTTGTTGAGGAAAAATTTTGATTTCTTGTCTTATTAGGGATTTGGGTTTGGTGATTTTCCTTTTTTATAATGCTCTTGTAAGGTTTTTTGTGGTCCAGTGTTTTATGGGTGGCTTATAAAATGATTGGTATTGTTTCCATTTATATTTCTGTTTCATAAGAGAATTTATGTATGATTTATGTATGTTCTTGAATTTTGATAGAATTTCTAGTGAAACCTGATTTCTTGAGTTTTATTCTGAAAAGGTTCTTAAAAAACATAATTTGTTTAGTTAAACTAAGGAAAATTCAGATTTTTTCTTTTTGTGTCAGTTTTTGGCAAGTTTGTACCTTTCAAAGAAATGGTACAAGGTCATACAATGGGTAATTTTATTGGACATTAAACATTGTTTTGTTCAGTATTCCTTTTTCTTTTTTGAGACGCGGATCTCTGGGTTACCCGGGTAGAAGTGCCATGTGTCAGCCTAAGCTCACAGCAAACCTCAAAAACTCCTGGCTCAAGCGCAATCCTGCCTTCAGCGTCCTGAAGTAGGCTGGGACTTTACAGGCATATTGCCACCATGCGCCGGCTCATTTTTCTATTTAGGTATTTTTTAGTTGCGCCAGATTAATTTTTCTTTCTATTTTTTAGTTAGAGACACGGCGGTCTCACTCACTGTTTCAGGGTTGTTTCAGGAACTTCTGAATCTTGTGATCCCTCACTCCTCGGCCTCCCAGAGTGCTAGGATTACAGGCATGAGCCACTTTGTCCAGCCTGTAGTATTTCTTTATTAGTCTTTTCATGTCTGCAGAATTTATAGTGATAGCCTCTTTTTCATTTCTGATTTAGGTAATTTGTGTGTTCTTTCTTTTTTCTTAGTCTGTCTCATTCAATCTTTTTAAAGAACCAACATTTGGTTGTGCTATTTTATCCTATTCTTTGGTTTTCTATTTAATTGATTTCTACTCTTAATGTTTGTTTCTTTTTTCTGCTTGCTTTGGACTTAATTTCCTCCTTTTCATAATTTTTAGTAGAAGATTAGATAACTGATTTTAAACCTTTCTTCTTTGTTCATGTAAACATTTAAATTCTCTTAACCATTGCTTTAGCTACATCTCACCAATTTTAAGTTGTGTTTTTGTTTTGTTAAGTTCAAAATATTTTTAAATTACTCTTGTGATTTCTTCTTTGAAACATGGATTGTTTAGGAGTGTGTTGCCTAATTTCTAAATAATTGGGGAAGTTTTAGATGTATTATGATTATAATTATTTTGGTTTCTGCTGTATTTGTACTCTGTGATTTTAGGTTTAAAAATTTTATTGATATTTGTTTTATGTCCCAGTGTATAGTCTGTTTTTTGGTGAATATATGCACAAGAAAAAACTGCATTCTTCATTGTTAGATGTAGCATTAATAAACAAATTATCAATTAGGTCAAATTATCAGTAAGGTTGATAGTGTTGTTCAAATTTATTATGTTATGACTGATTTTAAGTGTACTTTTTCTCTCAACAAGAAAATTGTGTTCAAAATCTCCAGCCATGATTATGGATTTGTCTGTTTTTATATTTTGTTCATTCTGTTTTTGTTACATATTTTAAAACTCTTTAATTAGGTGAATATGTATTTAGTATTGTTATGTTTTCTTCATGAATTGGCCCTTTTATCATTATTAATTGTTTTTCTTTATCTCTGGTAATACTCCTTGTCTTGAAACCTACTAGGTATGATGCTAGTGTTTATATGATATGGATCTTGGTTTTTTAAATCCAATGTGACAATCTGTTGTTTAATTGAAGAATTTATTCCATTTCCATTTAGTGTAATTATTGAATTATTTTCTTTGAAGTTACTGGTCTTGGTATTTTCTGTTAGTGCTATCAGCTCTTTGACTTTTGTTCCTCTTTTATGTAGTTCTTTTGGGTTATTCAGACTTCTTTTGCATTCTATTCTATCTCTTTGTTGGCTTTTTAGGTGTGTCTTTTGTGGTTAGTCCATAGATTATACTTGTACTCTTTTTTTTTTTTTTTCTTGAGACAGAGTTCTTACTCTGTTGCCTGGGCTAGAGAGCCATGGCTTCAGCCTAGCTCACAGTGACCTTGAACTCCTAGGCTCAAGTGATTCCCCTGTCTCAGCCTCTCGAGTAGCTGGGACTACAGGCGTGTGCCACCATGCCCAGCTAAATTTTTTCTGTTTTTTTAGTAGAGAGGGGGGTCCATCTCGCTCTTGCTCAGGCTGGTCTCAAACTCCTTACCTCAAGTGATCCTAGCCTACTAGAGTTACAGGTGTGAGCCACTGCGCCTGGCCTATACTATGCACTCTAAATTTATCACAGTCTACCTTGTATTAATGTTATATACTTATAAAGATATATTTCCATGCAACCCCTTCCATTTTTTTTTGCTATTGTTTTATATATTTTTTCTAGATAATAGGGAAACTGGCCAAAATGTATATAGAAACTCTCTGTACTATCCTTGCAATAATTCTGTAAATCCAAATCAGTTATTAGATCTATTTTGCTTTTTTAAACCAGTCTTCCCTATTTTCTCACATATTGGTACTATATGTATTTTATTAGATTTATACGTAGATATTTCATTTTTGGAATTCTATTGTAAATGATATTTAAAAAAAAATTAAAATACTAGTTGTTCATTGCTAGTATTAGTTGTTCAATGCTAAGACTGCCATAACAAAATACCACAGACTGGGTAGCCAAAGAGAAATTTATTTTTCCACAGTTCTGGAGTTTAGAGTACAAGATCAAAATGTTAGCAGGTTCAGTTTCTCCTGAGGACTTTCCCCTTGGCTTGCAGGTGGCTGCCCTCTCACTGCCTCTTCACTTGGTTGTCCCTCTGAGCAGATGTGCCCCTGGTGTCTCTTTTGTATGTCCAAATTTCCTGTTCTTATGATTTACCAGTCAGATTAGAGCCCACCTAAGGGCTTCATATTAACTTAATTGCTTCCTTAAAGGTGATTTTATCTATCTCCAAATATGGTCATATTCTGAGATACAAAGGGTTAGAATGACAATACGTGAATTTTTTGGGGGGCAGTTCAGTGTATAACAATCAGCTTTTGGTTTTATTGATTTTTTGATTATTTTCCTTTTTGAACTCCATTGTTTTCCATCTTAAGTTTTACTTTTTTTTTTTATCCTGCTTGCTTTCTTAGTTGTTTTGTTTTGTTTGTTTGTTTGTTTGTTTTAAGGAGGAAGCTTAGGCTATTGATCTTAGGTCTTTCTTCTTTTCTAATATGTGCATTTTAATGCTATTAATGACCTTCTAAGCATTGCTTTTGCTTCATCCCATATTTTTTTTTCCACCTCCACTCCCCTATCTCTCAAATTTGACAAGTTTATATTTCATTTTCATTTAGTTCAAAATATTTTTGAATTCCCTGAGACTTTTTTTTGACTCATGGTTTATTTAGAAGTGTGTTGTTAAATTTCCAACTCTTTTGGAATTTTCCAACTATCTTTGTGTTATTGAGTTCTATTTTAATTCCATTGTAGTCTGAGAGAGCATACTGTGTATTGTATGATTTCTGTTCTTTTAAACTTGTAAAGGTATGTTTTATGGCCCAGAATGTGGTCATCTTGGTGAATGTTGCTTGTGAACTTGGGAGATGGACTATTCTATAAATATCAATTAGGTCAAGTTGACTGATAGTGCTGCTCAGGCTAATATATTCATATTGATTTTTTGCCTGCTTGATCTACCAATTACCGACGAAATTGTGTTGAAGTCTCTTAACTGTACTATGGATTTGTCTATTTCTCCTTTCATTTCTATCAGTTTTTGCCTCACATTTTGACACTGAGTTGTCAAGTACATACATGTTAAAGATTGTTATGTTTTCTTAGAGAATTGACTCCTTTCTCATTATGTAATGCTCTTTCATCCTGATAATTTTCCTTCTTCCGAAGTCAGCTTTGTCTGTAATTAATATAGCTACTGCAGTATCTTTTCATTAGTGTCATGGTATACCTTCCTCTTTCCCTTTTCTTTTTTTTGAAACAAGTTTATTGAGATATAATCCACACAGCATTTCATTTACAAATTTAAAATGACAAGTTAAGTGATTTTTAGTATATGCAAAGATATTTGCAATCATCACCAATTTTACGACATTTCATCACCTCAGGAAGAAACCCTGTATCTTTAGCTATCACCCATCCCTTATGTCCTCTCTCATCTCCATCTCCCTGCCCTTTCCCAGCCCTAAGCAAACATTAGTCTACTTTCTGTCTCTATAGATTTGCTTATTTGATATTTCTTATATATAGAATAATTTCATATATGTAGAATACTGTATGTGGACTTTTGTGATTGGCTTCTTTCAGATAGCATAATATTTTCAAGGTTCATGAATGTTGTAATATGTATTAGTACTTGATTTCTTTTTATGGCCAAATAATAGGTGAGAAAAACGCTCTGGGAAAGTAGTTTGCCTTGAGGGAAGGCCTTTGTTATAGAGAACACTGATTACTTTTTACCTTTCCCTACCTTAAAGCACAATGGGATTTTTCTCAGACCTTCATTATGAGAATTTAATGGACCTCTTGGATTAAAACCCAGGAAAGTATCGGCCCTCCCTGTCAAGACTGGGCCCCCAGGAGTTTTAACTTTCAAGCTAGTCCACCCTCAGCCTTCAGTAATTTGTCAATGACTGTTGAAATGTTCCTACCAGTTACTAGCGGTTACGAGTGGTTTCTGCTCCCCAGTGAACTGCTTTGGCTTTGATTCTCTTTTTTTGCCTTCTCTCTCTAATTTTTGGAGTGTTTGCCCTGGGGCCTTAGTTCTTTGATGGATTGAAGAAAAGTTGTTGGTTTTCAGTTTGTTATCATTTTTCTTGCTAGGATGAGCTTGATGACTTACAAGCTCTTTGTGTATTTGAACTGAAATTGGAAGCCTAAATTATCACATTGTCTTTAATTAACTTTTACTTATCTCCTTACCCTTCAAGAGAAGTTTTTTGTTTTTTGCTTGTGAGCAGAGACTATCTCATTAATTGTTACATCTCCAGTGCCAAAATGTTTTAACATGTATTTTTGAATGAATATTGACTTAGTTAACCTTGTAACTGAACTGGATGGTGTAGGGGCCAAGGGGAAACTTCCCCGTTGCCCTCTGAAGGTTTACTAGACAGATTAATAGGACAAAAGGTATACAAATTTATTAGCATGCATGAGAGTCTTACAAAATATAAGAACTCAAAGCAATGGCTGGATAATTGACTTTTTTATACCACCTTGAGTTTACAGAAAGAATGGGACTTAGAGTGTGGTAAGTAGGCTGTGGTGCCAAAATAGATACAGGAGGGGGTGAAGAGGAGGCCTGGCTAGCAAAGGTGATCTTGTTATATAGATGAAATCTCTTAGCAGCCCTCAGAGGGAATAGATGGTTAACGTTTCTTTCAAAACTTTATAGTGTCAGACTCTCAATTAATCTTTCCTAGATCTGGACAAGGCAAGGCGCTCAGAGAAAGCCTGGTGGTATCAGTGCAGATTTTCTCTACAGATACAAGTCTTCCCCACAAAAGATAGTTTTGCAGGGCTACTTCTGTTTGCAGGCCCTCTGAACAGCCATCTCAAAGATGGCATATGTCGAAGAAGCATATTTTGGGGAAAAATATTTTAATTTTTTTCCAGTAGATACTATAAGGTGAATTTAAGAATCTGGTTTGCCAATAACCTATGTAACATAACTCTCCTTATGGTTCTGTTGCTACAGGGATTGTCCTGGGATTGTTTGTGGTAGGATTGTTTGTGCCAGTTGTTTGCTATGATAAAGTAGATCAAATTTCAAATAAAGTAATAGTGAGAAAGGAAGACTTCTTTGGGAGGTTTAAGTTATATCACTGACAGTTGGATAGAAAAGCTTTAATGGAGAAGAACCGTAGAGATTGGGAAGCCTAGAGGAGAGTGGCAAAATTGTGGCTAATGAATAAGTAAAGAGTACATACAATTTTGAATGTTTTAATTTGTACTTTATGAACTAATTAATACTTCTATTTGATTGGACAAATGCCTAGATATAGGGGAACTTTAGGAAATTCAATAAGCATGATACAATGTTTTTTTCTTCACAAGCTAATAAAGATATATTTTGAAAAAATTTTTTTAGAGATCCTGAACTTTCAACTGTTTGCCGGAAGTCTGGTACATTAATATTATATCCAGGAGCTGATGCTGCTAATTTGGAAGAATTTGTATTAGATTCTCCTGTTTACCCTTCCACAATCATCATCATTGATGGTACATGGAGCCAGGCTAAGGACATTTTCTATAAGAATTCCTTATTCCGACTTCCCAAACAGGTAAACTAGCATTTAAACAGAAAATAAATGCAAATGTCTAATTATGTATATTGTATATGTTTTCTGCGAAAGAATGTACATATATTTTTTATATATAATTTGATGGTGTTTGTATGTGTGAATGTTATGTACATACATATGTATATGCTTGTGTGTATGTGAATATGTATAGAAAATTTCAAATTTGTCATCCTGTCTCAATTCCTACTGTCAAACTTCACTGTAGTTTATGCATTTGTCTATATTAAGAGTCTCTCAGATACTTAATCTGAGAAGTTTAATGTGTTTTGTGAAGAAGTATTATTATATTTAAATACTTTTATGTGGTTACTAAATTACTGTACCTAGTTCTTATTAAGAATAACCAAATTTTCATGAAATACTTTTTGTCATTCATTATTATAGTTATGTGGTTTATTCTTCAATTTTATGATGTAATTAATTATGAAGATATATTTCCTAATATTGAACCATATTAGGTTTTCCTAAAATGCACTCTAGTGAGTAGACTATCAAAATTTTTTTATATATTGCTGAAAGTTATATTTGATTTAATAGCATTGAATTATATATTTTTGTACTTTTATCAGGTTTGGGTATTAAGGTAATGTTAACTTCACAAAATAAATTGGAGAGATTTTAATATTTTTCTATTGCCTGGATTATATTGGAATTCCTTGCTCCAAAAGATTGGATGGAACTCATTGATGAAACTACTTGGTCATGATCCCTTTAAAAATGGTAGCTTTTATTTAAATTCTTTCAAATTTTCTATGGAAATTATTCATGTTTTCTTCTTCTCTTTAGGTCAGTCTTTAATAACTTATTTTTCTAGGGAATTATCTCTTTCCTCTAAGTTAAGAGATTGGTTGCTGTATACTTACATATATTCTTAAGTAATTATTGTAATTTCTCCTAATGTGTTCTTTTTCATTTCTAATCATATGCACAGTTATAGAGACACACAAAACATTTTTTTCATACATAGATTCAAAAGATGTTTCTCGTATTTTTCTTAAAGGTTATTATTATTATTATTATTATTATTTGAGACAGAGTCTCACTGTCATGCCCAGGCTAGAGTGGTACAGTGGTGTCATCATAACTCACTGCAGCCTCGAAGTCCTGGCTCAAGTGATCCTACTGCCTCAACCTCCTGAGTAGCAGGGATTACAGGTGTGCACCATGACACCTAGCTAATTTTTCTGTTTTTAGTAGAGATAGGGCCTTGCTCTTGCTCAGGCTGGTCTGGAACTCCTGAGTTCAAGTAATCCTCCTGCCCTGGCCACCCAGAGTGCTAGCATTATAGGCGCGAGCCACTGCTCCCAGCCACTAAAAGAAGCTTCTCTATTGAACTCTTAAAAATATTAATATAAGCTTTCAGATTGTTTGTAATGGCTATGATACTTTATTTTTCATTTATTTCGTTAAGTTTAGGTTTTTTTCTGGATCATTTTCTTCTTCTACTTTTTTCAGCTTATTTTCTTTTGTTCGTTTTCTGATTTTATAAGATTTATATTAAGAATACTGCTATGGCCTGAATTTTGTTCCCTTCTCTCCCTTTCATATATTGGAGCCCTAGCTTCCAATGTGGTGCTATTTGGAGGTGGGACCTTTGGGAGGTAATTAGATGATGAGGGTGGAGCCCTCATGATGGGATTAATACCTTTACCAGAAGAGATTTCTTTCTCTCTCTGCCTTGGGAGGACACAGCAAGAAGACTTCTTTCTGAAAGCCAGGAAGAGAGTTCTCACCAGGACCCTGAACTGCTGATACCCCGATCTCAGACTTCCCAGGTCTAGAACTGTGAGAAATATATGTCTGCTGTTTAAGCCACCTAGTTTATGACATTTTGTTATAACAGCCCAAGCTAAGACAAACACTGTGCTTTTTTATTAAGGATTATGGAGTTCCCTCTTGAATACTAAAGAGAAGGATGGCTGCAGCATTCCTTCTTAATATAACTTTCATTCGTTGACTTAAAATTAATAAATCTATAAATTTGGAAAGGAGAACTTTATTTCTTATGATGGGTTACAACGTGCAAACTGGGAAGTGGAGCCTTCAGCTGAAGCTGAAAGCAGGCACTTCGAGGGAGGAAGGGGGAGACAGGAGTTTTATGCAAATGGTTGGCTAACCATATATATTTAACAGGTTATAGGAGGCTATGACTATTCATGAAAGGGGGTCACATAAATGTGTGGCAAGCAAACAAACATGTTATATACATCCCATGTTCACTTTGGGGTAGAGACTTAACATTAAAAGATGGTAAAATTAGAGTCTATATGTCAAAAGATGACTCACGCCTGTAATCCCAGCACTCTGAGAGGCCGAGGCAGGAGGATTGCTCGAGGTCAGGAGTTCAAGACCAGCCTGAGCAAGAGTGAGAACCCATCTCTACTAAAATAGACAGAAATTAGCTGGACAACTAAAAATATATGTCAAAAGATGAAACTTAGGACAGAAAGGTGCTTTGTGTGTAGCTTCTGTAAACCAGCCAGAACAAGTCTGTGGTCAGTGATCATTTATTAGGAGGGAATGTGTTGTGAAATTGGTCAGCTGTCGAGTCAAAACCAGGAAAAGGGTGGGGAGTCTGGCTGCAGTGTCAGGCAGTTAGTTGAAGTTGAAGTCAGTGGAGGAATCTTTGGTTCTTTGTTTTCCAGGGCTGGTTTTTCTTCAACTCATAGGAGAAAAGTCTGGTAATGGTTAGTGAGAAAGGAGGTATACTGAGGTGTGACTGACCTCCTATCCTGTCATGGCTGGGACACTTAGTTTTTAAAGTATTTCTGGGGTTTCCTTGTTCAAGAGGGTTCAGTTTAGTCTGTCAAGAGCTTGGGGTTTTATTTTTATTCCATACATTGTATTCCATCATTTTGGGTTGGGGTGTTCTTATAATGATGGCATTAATACAATTTGTTTTGATTTCTTTCTATCCATGGATTATCAGTGAGTTCTTAATTCTCATTTTGGTTACTGTTTTGTTTATTTCTGATTTTGTGGGATTGTGATGAAAACATTGGCTGCAATATTTTGAATAAGCTTATGATTTCAGAGTGGATAAGTTCACGGTAGATTTTTGTTCCTGTTCTATGAATATAAAAAAATGTACATTCTTTATTTAGGGATGCATGCATTTATGTATGTATGTATGTATGAAAGAAAAAATGAATAAACGATAGGGTCTTGCTCTGTTGCCCCACTGGAGTGCAGTGGCGCCATCATAGCTCACTCCAATCTCAAACTCTTAGGCTCCAGAGATTCTTCTGCCTCAGCCTCCCGAGTAGCTGGTACTACATGCACATACTACCGTGCCCAGCTGATTTTCTATTTTTTGTAGAGTTGGGGTCTTGCTCTTACTCTTGCTCATGTTGGTCTTGAACTCCTGACCTCAAATGATCTTCTCTTCTTGGCCTCCCAGAGAGTTAGGATCATAGGCGTGAGCTACCATGCTTGGCCCACATGATTGTTTTTAAGTTTGTAATTGCATATTTCTTCATACATTTATTTTTGGTGTACTAGGGCTATTTGCTACTGAAAAAGTTTATGAAAACCTTCAGCCCTTATGTATTTTTAATGATGTTATCCTTGCATTCCCAGTAGTTTTTGTGTTATGGATTTATGTGCTTTGTTGTTAGGAACATGCAAGCCATGCACTTAGTGAAGAATAAAAATGGAACTCTGACTTTTGAGCTTTTAATCTCAAATTCTTTCTAGTTTTCATTTCCTATAACCATAACGCAGACATGGTTTTTAGATGAGGCTCAAATATATGAAACAATTCTGAAAAATAGCTAATGCATTGAGCACTTTGAATGAGCTAGTCCCAATTTCAGGAGCTTTCCATGTATTAGCTCATTTAATCTTTCGCCAAATCTCATGAGGTAATAAGTATTGTTATCTTAGATAACAGGTGAGGAAACCAAGGCACAGAGATGTTAAATGACTTGTTTTAGATCATGTAACTATTTCACAACAAAGCTGCAATTTGAACCCGTCATTTTTTTTTTTTTTTTCTTTTGAGACTCGAGTCCCACTATTTGCGCAGGCTAGATTGCCGTGGCATCAGACTAGCTCACAGCACACCTCGAAACTCCTGGCTCACGCGATCCTTCTGCCTCAGCCTCCAACGAACAGAAAACAGCGGGACACAGCATGTGGCCTCACCATGCTGCTATTTTTTCTGTAACTCTTTATTGTTCAGCTGATTTCTTCTCACTCTCTCTCTCTCTGTTTGTTTTGTTTCTAGTATAGACAGTCTCCGCTCTTCGCTCAGCGCTGGTCTCCATACTCCTGCAGCCCTCAACACCCACTTCACCCCACGCAGCACTCGCAGGCATAAGCAAGGATTCACCCAGGCGGACGCACCCCGTGCCCGGCCCACTCGCAACCATCGTGTTTCACGAGATACCCCACGAAACTTACGCTCTTAAACACAATGGTACATACCTGCCTTCTCAAAACGGAAAAAAAAAAACACTCTTCAGTTGAGGCCATACTTTACATAAACTCCTTACGCCTTCTTAGCTTCTCACCACACTTTTTCTTCCTTGAATTTCAAAATACCTGACGGGACGTACAAATGCTTCGTTGTTACACTGATAACTTGTATAATACCTAAGTCAGCCTTTTGGTGTGCCTTCACCCAGAACTCCAGTGTTCCATTGTAACCGAAGGCTAAGTTTTTATCCTCACTCGTCACCCCTGCTGCTCTCTCGCTTCCCAGGTCCTTTGTATCTCCTTGTGCCCATGTGACCCACACTCGTTTTAGCTCCTATGTACTTCTGCGAGGCATACGGTGTTATTATTCCATTCCTGAGATACTTCACTTAGGATATGGTCTCCAGTTCATCCAGTTAACTGTGAATGACATTATTTCATTCTTTTTATGCCTGAGTAGACTCATCGTATACTTAATTATAATATATATATATATATATACATATACATCACCCACATTTCTTTTCTTCCCTCGTGAATTGATGGGCACTTAGGTTGAT